GACAAGGGGCTTGGGGACTCAGTCTGCGGCCTGCAATGGCCCCTGAAGAACCTGGGCAGTTGGTTTGCCCTTTCCCTGATTCGAATTCTCATTTTCCTGAAATCTATTCCAGGTTTTATCCAAGTTTAAAAAAACAAATAAAACAACAACAAAAAACCCAAGACAAAAACCTCTTCAACCTATTGTGTTCACTGTTTCCATGTAGCAGTTACAGAGGAAAGGGGCAGGTGGTTAGTTTTGGAATCTCCAAACTTTTAACGCCGGCAGAAAGGAAAAACAGAACCTGTTAGCTGAGAAAAAAAAAATGTTTTAATCTGCTTTTTCCCCTTGTGGATCTTAAATTGGCTGGGCCTGAGGGCACTCCCAGAGGCAGCACCTGCTTCCACCCCCTGCCCAGTTTCCTCTTCATCAAGGTTTGGCCTAGAGAGGATCAGCCAGAAAGCATTGCCTACAAATGTTTTCTGGGCAGTGGACCATAGTTTAGCCTTTCTGAAGATGTTAGCAGTGCAGAGAAGACCTTGCAGACCCCTGAACCTCTTCATCAGCAACCAGCCATGCTTGATCCCCTCCCAGCTGAGACCACCCCCACACTAGGTCATTTGTTGTGCTGAAAATTGAGCCACATCCCCATACTTTAGATGTGTGTCTCCTGAGTTTAGAGCCCAACCGGTCCTTACACTCCGCCCTCCCCTCCCCCCCAGCTCCTGGCCTGGGACAGGCACTCCTCTGCTCCCTGGGCTATACAAATCAGGTATTCCTGAGACCTCACAGGATCCCTGAGAGAGGAGACACCAGACACATTTGAGACAAGGCCCCAGCTGGCCTGATCCAGAACTGTGAGCTGTAACTACCGGTCAACTTGCCTGCAGCACCTTCCTGCTTCAGAAGCGGAAATCCATTCCTGCCTAGAGCGTCTGCTTTCCCTTGTTCTTGGGGATCTGTTCACATCTAGCTCCAGAGTGGGCCAGGCTGAGCCTCACAGGAAGTCAAGTCCCCTCTGGGCATGTTAGAAAGAGCATGTCTAGAGAGGTCCAGACCTCTAACTGCTAATTCTAGTTTGTGTTCTTGTGGAATGGTAAAGTGGCCATAGTCTAAACAGAGCTTGGGTTGTCAGGGAGCCAAGGATGTGTCTTATATTTGCCAGGATTGATGGCATCAGAGATAACATCCACAGGGAGTTAGTTTGACTTTCAGACACCCAGAGCCTTGGAAAAAGGGGTGAGATACTGAGGACAAGCACTTGGAAAAGTGGTAAATCCCAGCTCTTCTCTAAACTTGGGAATCTCTCAATGTTTCCCAACCCTCCAGATCAGTTTATCTCTGTCTAGAGATTACAGTTGTTTATGGGAATGATTCTAAACCTAGTTCATTTGAGAGTGAGAAGGAATGCGGATTTGTAAGATCAATTGGCCAACTTTTGAGGTGTTCTGGAATTAGCCAGGCAGAGGGTCAGAGGCTGGAGCTGTGGCCATGGAGCAATTCCTATTCCCTAGAGAGGAACAGGGCCCAGCTGGCCTCAGGAGCTCTTTGCCAGAGAATGACTTCACTCCTCTCTTAGAGCAATCAGATTAGCATGTAGTGTCTTTATCTGCAGATCAGTTTACTCCCGGGTCCCCCTAAGGATAGTTTTATTAGGACCACAGGATTTGACCCACCGCTGGGACGATTATTGCAGGTGGAGGTATTTATGGGGAAGGTATATAATCTGATTTAGTCATCCAGGCTGCACTGTGGAACTCTGCTGCTCGGTAGGAGACAAACTTGAATTAAAGGTATTTTGTGTAACATTCTTTGAAGTTGAGATTAGGACGTAGGTTTTTTAAAAAGAGCCTCGCCTTGTCCACTTCCTCTTCAGTTGGCCAGCTGAACTGACCTGACCGACACCTAGCCCTGAGCCACACGGATTCCAGCCAGGAAGAATGAGCTGGCTACCATCTGAGCTGCTGGGTCCTGAGGTGACTCCATTGAGTTCTGCTCCCCATCTGGCATCTTCAGGACCAATGTGAAATTCTAATTTCCTTTCATACTTGGGCAGGAAAAGGTCTAAGCATTTTAGAACAGGTGTCGCCTTAGAGTTGGGACACTTGGAGGAATGCACTCTGGGCTCACCGGGTAGCGATAAGATCTCACTCCAGGAAGCTAAGCGAGGCATGTGCACTCTTCCAGAGGCCCTGCTTAGCTTTTCCCTAGACTTGCTTTCTTCCTCGTATCAGGAAATAATTCTGGAGTGTGCTCCCTCACAATTCAGTTCTAAATTATGCCAGTCTCTGAAACCCTATCGAGCCAGGCGGTCGTTTGTTCCCACAAGCCAGCCTGGTCTCCTGCTCTGCTAAGTGGAAGGGACAGAGCACCTAGCAGTCCGGTCTGCGGTCGCTCTCCCGTTACCCAACCCAGCACGTCTCTGGGATAAACTGGCCCGAGGCAGTCTGGCCTTCGGCTGTTCTCTGGCCACGCGCTAAATTCCAAGAGACACCAGTCTAGTTTTCCCCAGTCCCAACCTCGACCCCGGCACACACCGCAGCGATCACTTACGTGGGCAAGGCCCGCAAGGCGAAGAGACCTCGGGTTCAGACGGCATCCAAGCGGCTGCAATGGGCGCATAGGACCGCACTTCACACCCCAAAACAGGCGCTAAGAAGGAGCAATTAAAAGCACGAGTACTACAGGAAAATCAGGACGAGCCTAGTGGCTCAGGAGTTGTGGTGGAGTCATTAGTTGGTTGTTGCTACAAAGCCTCACCGTGTGGTTCGGTGATTAAGGGAAAAAAAAAAATCTTTTAGGCGTTGACAAACCCTTTATTGGTTTACAGAATTTGGACTGTTAGCTCTCTCTCTTCTCTCTCTCTCTCTCTCTCTCTCTCTCTCTCTCTCTCTTTTGTTTTTCTCTTTTGCTCCAACCACCACGTTGCATGAAATATCTCTGCCCCCAGCTTCATGCCCTTAAATCGAAGAGGAATTCCCGAAGGCAGGAGCCGCTGCTGAAGAAGTTAGAGAGAGAGAGAGAGAGAGAGAGAGAGAGAGAGAGAGAGAGAGAGAGAGAATCCCCTGTACTCATATCTGTAACGACATCACCAATGTAATTTGTTTTGAATGTTCATTTTTATTGGTGTTCCCTCTGCCAAAATGTGCTTGATTACAGAGGTCTGTCCTGTGATCACTCTGCGCACTCCAGATAGGGGAAGGTGCCGCGGCGAAGGTTCAGCTCAGGCCAGATCAAATCCCGGGCTGTTTAACGCTGAAAGGCTGCATGTTGCTATTAGTGTTAAATATATGGCTAATTATGCGTATGAAAATTAAACATCAGTGTTATGCTAATGGGGCGCCTTCAGCTGCGGATCTGAGCACTTGAGACTACCATTTAATCAAATGAATCAGTAACTAATACGTGTGCACGTGTGAACTTTCACAAGATCATTTCCCCGTCCTCCCCCCCCCCCCCGTCACACCGCTAAATTATGAAAGAAATAATTATCAACACTTTCTAATTACCTAACAAAGTAATTTGGGATTCATCGTGGGGCTGGCAGGATTGGGAACCAACAGTCCCTAGCAACCAACGTAGTTTGCGCCACGCCGCGCCGCGTGGGGCGGCTGTGTGGTAGTAGTGGTGGGTGGGGGCGAGAGGGCCTTTTGTGCACTTTTCAAAACGAAGGTAGACGGCGCCTTGGCAGCTTCTGCCTCCACCAGCGCCCCTCGACTCACCCTCGGTCTGGAAGCTCCAGCTTAAGCAACTGGAGGTGAGGAAGAACTGGGCAACAAAGAGGGGCATGTCTATACACAGATACCCGCGCCTACCACAGATCTGGATTTGCTGAGGGTTTCGGTGTCGCCCTAGGACTCCCAAACCCCAAGTAGTCTGGCCAGACCCCAGGAGGTTGGAAAATGACCACCTGGCGGGCATTCGACGCTCCAGCCGCCAGGCGCCCTCAGGTCCCCGGACTCCACGCTGCGCCGCGCCCTCGGGGCGAGTGAGCCCGGGGCGCATGGCTCAGGGGGAGTGGAGAGGGGAGGGGGAGGCAGGAAGGTTGGGAGGGAAAGCGGGGGAGGCGGTGCGGCCGCCTTTCCTAGGAGGAGAAGCGCGGGTTCCTGGCTCTCCGCGCGCACTGCTTTGATCAGACCGGTGCAGCCTGGAGCTGGAGTGGCCAACTGGGCCTGGAGAGATGCGAGCAAGCCCCTGGGAACGGTGGCAGCGGCGGGGCGGCGGCCGAGTGAGTGAGTTGGGCCGGAGAGCCCCCAAACCCCGATCCCCGGGATGTGGCCGAGAGGACCCCAGCCTGGGAGGCGCGGCCTGGAGCGTGCGGAGCTAGGCACAGGACACTCAGAACCTCTGGCTGCTGGCTACCTGGGTTGTCTCCCAGTGCGCGACCCCGCGATCCAGAGAGACCGCGGCCAGATTGGAGCGGCGCTCCGCACCGGACCGGGTGACTGCGAGAAGAAGTGGTCCGGGGTCCCAGGAGTTGGGGGCGGGCGAAGGGTGGGGACAGCAAGGGGGAGGGCGACGGCAAGGGGCTGCTGGTTGGTTTCTGGGGCGGGAAGCGCGCGAGGGAGGCGGGAGGCTGGAGTCGCGGGCCTCCAAGGTCCCAGCGCGGACGCCGCAGCCCATTGTGCTTCACGCTCGGCGCGCTCTGTGGCAGAGGAGCCCGGGCCGGGACGAGTGGACCCGACTCTCCCTAGGCCGGGCCGCGTCGCCTGCTCTAGTCCAGCCGAGCCGGAGCTTCTCGGACCAATCCCCGGTGATTATGCAAGAGAGCCGACCAATCAGCTCCACCAGCTCATGAATATTTATGACCTTGGCTGAGTCAAAGCTTTGAACCGAGTTTGGGGAGCTCGGCAGCATCATGCTTAGACTTTTCAAAGAGACAAACTCCATTTTCTTATGAATGGAAAGTGAAAACCCCTGTTCCGCTTAAATTGGGTTCCTTCCTGTCCTGAGAAACATAGAGACCCCCAAAAGGGAAGCAGAGGAGAGAAAGACCCACACCCAGACCCCCGCGAGAAGAGATGACCATGACCACCATGCCAGAAAGTCTCAACAGCCCCGTGTCGGGCAAGGCGGTGTTTATGGAGTTTGGGCCGCCCAACCAGCAAATGTCTCCTTCTCCCATGTCCCACGGGCACTACTCCATGCACTGTTTACACTCGGCGGGCCATTCGCAGCCCGACAGTGCCTACAGTTCGGCCTCGTCCTTCTCCCGACCGCTGGGCTACCCCTACGTCAACTCGGTCAGCAGCCACGCGTCCAGCCCCTACATCAGTTCCGTGCAGTCCTACCCCGGCAGCGCCAGCCTCGCCCAGAGCCGCCTGGAGGACCCAGGTACGTGCGCTTGCCAGGGACCAGGAGAGAAGGGAAGGAGACTAGGAGAGAGGGGGAGAAGGGGAGGAGGAAAGAGAGAAGACCAGAGAGGGATAGAGAGAGGTGGGTGGGGGTGGGGAAAGCGCGGAAGCAGCAGAGGTTTCGGATATCAATCTATGGATCCTTGTCACTGAAACGAAAAAAAAAATTATAAGTCAATTCAATTTACAACCGTCCAGCAAAGGATAAATCCGAGCGCGTCTCTTGACACTGGCTGGGCCTCTGGGCCGCTCGGTGCGCCAAGCACACAATGCCCTGCTGGAAAACAGAAACCCACATGTGCACGTATTAGTCTCGGTAATTATTTATTGCGTAGCGCTATAAACAATGTATGCAATTAAGGGTAATTAAACCTCAACTACCGCCTGCAAAAATAGCAAACTTTCCCTGCAAAGGCAATAGCTGCGCTCTTGAGTACGGCCCAGTTCTGTCTACAGCAGCCAGGGACCTGCGCTCGGACCCTGAGCAACCCTTTGCAGTCTTTCAGGGTTTCTGGAACGTTCTTTTCCGGACCCTGCCTCTACCAACCCGTCCATAGACACTCACTCTCGTCCCTCCGCATTCAAGGCAGTCCAGAATTAACACGGGTATCTGCTTCTGTTGTCCCTCCAGGGGCGGACTCCGAGAAGAGCACTGTGGTGGAAGGCGGTGAAGTGCGCTTTAATGGCAAAGGGAAAAAGATCCGCAAACCCAGGACAATTTATTCCAGTTTGCAGTTGCAGGCTTTGAACCGGAGGTTCCAACAAACTCAGTACCTAGCTCTCCCTGAGAGGGCGGAGCTCGCGGCCTCCTTGGGACTCACACAGACTCAGGTACCTGGCCGCTGTTTCTCCGCCAAACAGGCTTCCCGCGCTGGGCTTGAGCCCCAGGCTTCGAATTTCTGGTTCACTGGGCCTCTGGTTCGAGGTGTCACTGTGCGTGTGCGTGTGCTTGTGCCTGTGCGCGCGCGTGCGCGCGTGTCTGTGTGTCCACCTCTGACTTTCAGCGGCTCCCCTTCCTCCCACATGCTGCTTGCCCTAGCTCGGACCCTACTCTGACCTGCAGGCCGCCTGCTCTTCGGTCCCTGGACTTCTGATCTGGGAGCAGGAAGGATTTCCCAACTGGTTTTGTTTGGAGATTCTGAGGTCACACGCGCCGGAACAACTGGAACAATAGAAGGGGAATTTAATCCTCCTTTGCCTTTAAAGTGTGTGGCTAATCACTAGGATCCTGGGCCTAAGCCTCAATCTCCCTCCACCTCCTCCTTCTCTCGAGGTGGCGGAGGAGGATCCTTCCCTCTGCCCTTTCCCCTCCCAAGTCCCAGATCCTGGAGAGAGAGAGAACAAATATATATATATTGAGATTTTTGTTCTTGCTTTTCTCTAACACTGTGGGCAGTTCGTAGGCATTCAAACCGGATTGACGCCGGTTTCCAAAGTCTGCCTCTAGATTTGGATTGGAGCTAGGAAAGCGAACACACCTAACGGGGGAAAAGTTGGATTGAGTCTAAAGAAAAGTTTCACAAACCCTCGGTGGCTTCATCCACAAGTTCTTAAACTCATCCAAAGGCAGAAAGTTCGGGTAAAAGGAAGGTGATCTAACTGTAAATAGATACCCGCCCCCCATTCTATTAAAACCCTATTTAGGTTTTAAATTTTCTTTATTGATATTGCATTGTTTTGCGTGCAAGAGGTCTTCCATAAACAGCAGCTCGGTTGGCACTGACCCACTTGCAAGCCAAGGCCTGGGTCTCCCCTGCCCTCCTTACCCCACCCCCACCCTCCTATTTGAGAACCGCACTATAAGGGCCATCAGCAGCGGCGGGATTGGGTGATCAGTTTTCTAGCCTTTGGCTCTCATGGGGACTGGGGGTGGGGATGGTGGTCTCTGCCCCTCTAGCCTGGAGCTGCCAGCCTCGGGCAGAGCCAGGAGGGCGGGTATTCTCTTCCACCAGTCCCTTCTCTCCTCCCCAGGCCTGGGTAGGCTCGGTGGTCACAGTCCAGTCACGTTGTCGCCCGGTCTTGCAGGTCAAGATATGGTTCCAGAACAAACGCTCCAAGTTCAAGAAGCTGATGAAGCAAGGCGGGGCAGCTCTGGAGGGCAGCGCGCTGGCGAATGGCAGGGCCTTGTCTGCCGGCTCCCCACCGGTGCCACCCGGCTGGAATCCGAACTCCTCCTCTGGGAAGGGCTCCGGCAGCAGCGCAGGCTCCTACGTCCCCAGCTACACCTCCTGGTATCCTTCAGCGCACCAAGAAGCTATGCAGCAGCCTCAACTCATGTGAGGTTATCAGTTCGCACTCACCCGCCTCCTTCCCGTCTCCCATGGCCCGGCCCCTCTCGCCTCCAGGTCCATCCACCCTTTCTCCTGCCCTGGGCCGGGAGAAGAAGGACCCCGAGGTGAGGAAGGGGGGAAAAAAAGGAACAGAGGGTTTGCCGCCTCCTTGGGGTTCCTAGAGGTCTGGTCCAGCGAGTTTCCAACTCCCCGCCCAAACCTGGTTTGGGCCACGCCGTGACAGCAAAGTGGCCTCAAAGCAGGCACAGCCACCGAAGACCCAGCCACAAGACAACCGGCTGGACCCGACCAGACTCTCAGCTTTGTGAGACTATCAGGAAAAAAATACGTAGGAGGGGGAAAATGCTCTCTTTTTTTCGGTTCTGTCTGTCTTTGTCTCCTTTTTGCACTGTCTGTGCGCTGAGTCAAGGTCCTCGTGTGTCTGCTGTCCTCATTCTGCGGCCTCTCCAAAAAGTCACCAGGTCTGAGCCACACCGGTCTGCCGGCAGCCCACCAGCGAATCCTGGAACGCTTTTTCCTTTATGGTCTTCTTCCGGGCCCTGCGTGACCACCTGTGTAGCTTGTTTGGGAAACGGGGAGAATCAGAGGGAGGGGGGTTAATTTATTGAAAAACAGACTTTATCTGACGCCGAGTGTTGGCCAATTCCAGGTTCTCTGGGGCATGGAGTGGGCACTGTCCAAACATACTATTTACCTTGAATACACCAGAAAAGGGAACAAGGAGGGGGGTAGTGGTTTTTAGGGTACACGGTAACTTTTGTGCTTTGCTGGAATGGAGTGGTGGGAGCAGTGTGCTTTACATTTTACATGCCCCATGTTTGTTATTAAAAGTAACAAACAACAAAAGAAAGAACAAAGTAACAAAGGAAAGAGAAGAGAAGCCATCAGGATTTTGTCAGGACTGCGGACAAGAACACCCAGCCAAGAAGAAAATCATCCTCTGGGCAGCAAGAGAGAGGACCAATGGTCCTCGGCGAGAAAATCAGTCCTGTGAAAGCGCCCCAATTCCAGGTCTCTTTGAAGTAAGACATAAACAGCTTTAAACAACCCCCAGCGGCTCCACCACAGAACACAAGTCGTCACCCTGAACGCACAGTCTCTGGTGCAGGATCTAATTGCTGTACATATTATTATTATTGTTATTATTATTAATAATTATTATTGTTGTTCTGTAAACATGTTGCACAAGCTTAGCCTCTTTCCGTTCCATTGTGTGTGGCTGTAAACCCGATGCTTTGTGAAATAAGAATCTTGACATTTTACTTGTGAAATTTGGAAAATGTGATCGATTGAAATTCAACCGTGTTTTGTGTTCTCTATGTCAAAGTTTAGTTTTATATTGAGAATGTTAACTTATTGCTTTGTATCTTGGGGGGAGGGAAACTTTGTAAATAAGTTATAAAGTTTCTTTGAGACAGTAAAATTATGATTTCATGAAAGAGCCATTGCATCCTGTGATGTGTGGAGGGAAGGAGGTGCCCCCCCTCACCTTTGGTACATTACCATAGGCATATCTACTTGCTAGGGATAGATGGGGGACTCTGAATATCATCCTAAGGTCTGTGGGGGTGCCCCAAAGGCCTGTTCCCCTTACCTTGGTAGGTACCTGGGATCCTTGCCTAGGTAGGAGATATGGCGTGCCTAGAGAGGGCTGGCGAATTCTGCTCTGGAGCAGGTGTTTTAGGAGAAAGCCCCACCTCAAGGGCTCAGGAACGGAAAGGCTACCAAGAGAGGAAAACAAAACCCAAAGGCAGCGGGCTTGAGAGACTGGGAGTTCTTCCCTGGAGTCCTGTGACTTCTCAAGAACCCTGGAAACAGGCACCCTGCTCAGCCTCAGCCCGGATCTGACCTGCCAGATTTCGCTTGACCTCAGGCACAGGATAGCATCTTGGCAGGGGCAGGAAGCATGCGTCTTCCAAGCCACCGCCCCAATCAATCACTGAGGTCTTTGGGGACAGGACGTGTCCCAGAGAGCCACCCAGACCCTTCCACAGCAAAAAAGACCCATTCCTGCCCAATGCCTAGGGACGTCTTTCTACATACTCACCAGCTGGAAATGCCAAAGCACGGTGGATTTAGGGGAGTTTTGAGACCGAGAGCTGACCATAGCCACTCACATCGCTCCCACCCCAGCCCTGAGTTTCGGGTACCAGTCCATTCTGAGATCACCTCCCTCTGGTAAGAGCGCTGGGGTTAAGTTTGCGTCAACAGAGCAGTGACTCCAAGAGGGGAGAACCAGGCTGAGTCCCTTCCTTGCTTGTCTGATGGTCTGAGCCCCAAGCCAGCCCCAGCCCAGCCCCAGCCCCAAGTGGGCCCCAATGGCCAGTTTTGCGCGATCCCTGCTTCCCTGGCACCCACCCGCTGCCCAAGGGGGCTGGCCCTCCGCCTTTGGGGGGTCCTTTCCGGCGCGCGGTGGGGAGCAGAGCCTGGAAGGCAGTGATCTGTGTTGTGACAAGCACCCATTTTTCAATTGGTGCTGGTGAAAGATCAGATGCGCGGAGCTCTTCCGACGCCCTTTGGGAAGGGGAGGAGGAAGTGGCTGGGCTGGAGGGGGAGCCGTTTAATGGGAGAAGACCAGGAGGTAGGGCTGAATGAAGCTGGGGAACTTCGATGCCCGTTCTGGGACTGAAATTGGGACTTTTCCTCCGCCGCCGGCGGCATCAGAACCAAGTGGAGCTCAGGAGTAAGATCAGACTAACATGGCACTGGATGGACCCGGGTTGAGACTGAGGGAAACAACTTCTCAGGCCAGGCCCGGGAGTAAGTGCTGAAGCTTGAATCCAGCTAGGCCTAGATTCAGTTTCCCCGGGAAAGGTGACTTCTCTAGGTGTGAGACTTTTCTCATTCATCTCACTCGGTCCATCAGAGGACAGCTAGTCCCCAAACTCCCAAGCCACAAACAAAATCTGTTTGGTCAAGCCGATTTTAATACTTTGAGATATTAGCTTATACTAATTTAATAATCTCTTGCTAACAGTTCAAATAGAGAAATTATTAGTTTTAGCTCAAGGAAGGCGGTGTTTAGTTAGGGCTCTATTATAATTATAAGCGGTTGTACTTTTTAAAAATGTTAATCTCAATATAGGCCTAATTAATGCTGCCTTGTTACTGACAAGTAGTTCATCAAATATCTGATTCAAAGATTTTCATAATGAGTATATTAATTAAACTATGAATAATCTAAAGGTGGTTATATTTAAACAATACCTCATTATAATGATTAAATACTGATTTCGAATATTATGTCTTAACAATTGTCACACAGAAAACACAACCTTTCCTTATGTATGAGTCTGTAATGGCAAAATGCAATTTTGGGATTTTTTTTCCCTTGTTCAAAAAATGTGAACCTCATTTTAAAACACTTCTGAAATAGGTTACACACAGCTTAATGATTATCAAAATGACTCTTTTCTGCAAAAAAAGACCCCAAAGTGCGCGTACAGCTGCAAACCCAAGAGGGTCAGCATCATTTCACTGTATTCTCTTCTTGATTACAAGCCGGGCCCATCAAACACAACATAATTACAGTAATTTCAGGTTTATTTATTCTAATGCAGTTTCCCCATCTCTCTGGTAATTATGAGCAATTTTTTCGCCCAGGGAATCTTTTTGCATTAACAAAAGAGATAACGCACTGAAAGCCAAATTTGCTGTGCATTGAGAAAAGGAAAAAAAAAAATCAAATAGGTGCGAGCTGCCATCTCTGCAATTCTCCGGTACCGGAGCCGGCAAATTGCTTGCAGGTGTATGGAGCAAGCTTGTCAATGGCCGGGCCTCCGAATTAGCAAAATGCACAGCAGCAAAGTAATGAAGACAGACTTAGCAAAATTGCTAAACAACAGATACCTCTTTAATATCTTCTCTCACACACGCTAGCTCTAAAAGGGGTAGGAGTGGGGGTGGGGCGGGAGCACAGTCCTAACTCTCTCACTGGCCCTGTCTTTCAGTCCTTTGGACGGCTCTGAGTGGCCCCTGTGAGTGCTGAAGTCTACTGGCGGCAGAACCCAGAGCCTACATTTCACCAATATTTCTAAAAAGACAAAACTGGAAACATTTATAGTCCGCAGCTTGCTCTTACTGATCACTAGGTTGCATTTGTATTTCTTTTTTTTTTTCCCCAGGGATCTGCACCTGGTCTAGGTTGGATGGTTCATCAGACTTCCTGGTTCTAACTACATGTAAGCACACACACACACACACACACACACACACACACACACACACACACGTTCTTAAAATCCCATCCACCTCTGTGCCCCAAAGTGTGAATTTGTTTGTAGAGAGTCACTGGATGAAGAAATTAACTGAATCTCTCCCCTTGAAGAAATTGTCAGCTGCTTTCCCAAAAAAGGGTAGGTCTGAGTCCTGGATATTATTATTAGATCAAGAAAAATTGGGCAGAAAGTAGCAATCAGTCAGTGCCCCCCCAAAATCTGCATTCTAGTACTCCCCTCTTTCTCCCTATGTCTCCTGACAGTCGGTGTGCACAGTTATCTGTGGTTTGCCATTCTCCCACCTGTCTTCAAGACCCTTGAAATCACAGAGGAAAGCAAACTTTCCTGTTAACTAGCTCACATGGCCACCGGAGCCCCCATCCAAGGCAGTACAGAGTGTGAGAGTCTCTTTCTCTCATACCCATAGAAACCTTCTCCCTGCCCTCAACTCTACAGCAAACCCCAATTCCAAAGAGGAAAAGCAAAAGGCTCCAAAGGGGGCTTCTCCAGGCTCAAGAAACGTTAGTACCCCCACCCACCGCTTCCCTACCCCCTCTCTCACCCCCCCCCCCCAATCTTCAGGGATTAACACTTCCTGAAACATCAAGTGTTTTTATAAAAAGGGGAAAAAAATACTCCTGACATCGCTGACAAGAAGTTTTGATGGAAGAATTAGCTGCTGCATACATAATCACTCCCCCACCCTCCTACTCCCGGCGCGGGAGCCCCGCGGCAGCACAGTGCAGCCTTCCAACCCTCTGAAAAACGAAACCGGTTTCCACCCTTACCTTCTTCAGTGTCAATTTCAGATAATCTGGACACACACTCTTTGCTACATCAAATCAAAAGGGTCGAAGGCGGCTTTTGGCTGGGAGAATGACAGGAAAGAAAAGGCAAAAAAAAAAAAGGCAAAAAAAAGGAAAAAGGAAAAAAACAGGAAAAATAGGAAAATGCAAAAACCTACCAAAACCAGAGTAAAACAAAACCAGAAAACCAAAAAGAATTCCCCGGCCCCATCTTCCTATCCTGAGAGAAAGAGTAAAGGAAAGAGGTCCCCAGGACCAGGCGCCTCGAGCGCCGCAGGCTTTTTGCATCTCTGAGCTTGCAGAATAGAACTGAAAATTTCGGCTATATAGCCTCTGTCTTTATAGCTGATGAAAAAAATTGCAGATTATTAGCATAAATGTTTACTCTTCATTACGCTGATGACATTGTGCACTCGAGATCTTGGTAATCTTTGGGAAAATTATGAGTAATTTTTAAAAATTTTAAAGCAGCGGCAGTTACCATGCAATTCAGGCTAATTCTGCGTAGGCTCCGAACGGATATAATTATCGAGGAGTCAAGATGTTATGCTAAAAACTATGCATTGATATTCCCATTTATTATGTACATACAACTTTGACAATGTTGATGCTTGAAATAGCAGGAAATTGTCTTGCGCAAAAATTACAGTCCATATTAGGACATCTGAAATTGCGAAGAATTATATAGTAATTGCAGGCTTTCAGATGGGAGAGCCAGAATGCTCAAACTAGTGCAAATGTGGATAAAATTACAGATCAGAGCAAAAATTAGGGGAAAAGGGGGTCTGGGATTTTTCAGGTTGGCTATAGGATTCCGGAAGTGTCTAATGCCACATGATTGCTGCAGCTTTAGGGGAGACATTCAAGCCTCAAATAGCGCCTTGGCCAGGGTGGCTTTAATTGAATTTCTTGGGCTTTTTGTTTTAATAGGGGCAAATGAGGAAATTGACCACCCAAGACAAATTTTCACTGTTCTACCCCTTGAGAATGTGTTGAGAAGCGAATCCCTGTCCTCGCTGCGTGTTCTCTGCGGCAGGGACTCCCGGGAGGTCTTAGACCCTCCCCCCCCACCCCCCCCACACCCTAAACGCAGCGATGGAGAAAGTGACTGGACCAACACCCCACCCCACCCCCGCCACCAACACTTCCTTTTTACTTTTTCTTTCTTCTCCTCCTCCCCCTTCCATGAGCCCCTTTTCCGGATTCTCCTCCTCCTCCTCCTCCTCCTCCTCCACAGTGCGGCACTGCCGGCCCTGGGTTGGGATGGCCTGCGCCTTGGGGGCCCGGGTGGGGGTGTGTTCGCCGACTGAGGGAGCAGTGCCTGGAGAGATCACCTCCGGAGAGAGGCCAGTGACCTCCCAGTGCCTACGCCCCTAGAGCCAGAGCCTGCGGTTTTGGGGGCTTTACAGGGGAGAGGCAAGAAAGGTCTGCGCTAGGGGTCCTCCAAGTCCACGCTGCGACCACCTGGGCTCTTGTTTTGTCTTCGCGGTCGCGAGCTTGCATCCTGCATCACTCCCCCTCAGCCCCCCGGAGACACTTACTCCCCCACTTGGGCGGTGCTTCTCTAGGGCACTGAGACACCCTGCGACTTTAAGAAGCCTAGGCCAGGCCTGCGGAGGGAGGAGGCTGGGCGGGGAGGGTCCCCCAGGAGGAGGAACAACTAGACGCCCCGCCAAAGAAGCCAACGTGAGGTTTGCTAGGGTTCTGAGCGGCGGCATCCCCCATTGTTTGAGGGAGCAAGGGTTTCACCTTTACGGTGCCCGTGACCGTGGGACCTAAATCCCGAGGCGAGTGGCTGGCGGGTGAAATGCCCGGCTGCGTAGTCTGTGCCGGCCCAAGTCGATCGCGTAGGATCACCCTGCGCGCTCCGCCACAGCTGCGGTCCCAGCTTGGGGGACACTTTCTTCCTTGTTTCCTAGAGCGAGGGCCCTACTTAAGACGTGACCTAAGCGGTGGCACCGGGACTCCAGGACTCTGGAGGATCCTAGCAAGGCTATCACACTGCAGTGTTTGTGCTTTGGCCCGCGGGTGGGGGGTGGGGTGGGGTGTAGGACGAGTGGGGAAGCCCTAAGCTAGCGCGACCCCAGGGAAGAGTCTGTCTGGAGACTCCCTCTGTTCTCACGTGGAGGCGCCAAGTAGCTGCTCCTAAGACCTGCCTGCTTCCTCCCGCCCCAACTCCTGAAACATATTGTCTCTTAACCGGAGGCCCCAGGGCGGAATGTAACATCTTGTAATGTGGCAATCACTGCCAAACCCGTCCCCGCTAGGGGAACTCCTGCTGGGGTGCGGGGGACGGAGGAGGGGGGCTTCGGAGGGGTGTGGGCCTCTGCATCCCGTCTGCACTGGGGTGTGTTTGTGTGGTGTGGGCTGGAGATTGCTCTCCAGGCAGCTCCCAGGAGGGGAACGGAAGACTCGCCGCGAGGAGGCCTTTCCTGGGGCTGCTTGGGGTGTCAGGGCACTGAGAGGCAGCAGCTAGCCTGGGAAGAGCCTAGTCCCCTAGCCAGGACCTCGCTGTAGATGGTCCCGAGTCGAGAGCCACACTCAGCTTCTTCTTCGGAGACCCCGACTCCAACGTGGAATACGAAGGGAGTGTCGGTGTTCATCTCAGGAAAAGATCGGTGGTTTGATTTCCGAAAATCTGACCCTAAATAGGCCAAAGCCGCTGGCTGTCGCTGTTTTCCCCGGAGGCAAAGGGGTGGGCTGGAGACTTTTGGGCAAGTGCTGGTGGCGTCTGGAGCTGAGCAGTGGCTCTGGGGTGACTACGTACTGTCCTGCTTTTTGAAAGGCAAAGGGGGCTTTTTTGCAATCCCAGGAGTTGGGAAAAAGGTTCCGAGGCGGGGAGAGCAAGCGCTGATTCGCGTTAGCTCTTCCTTTCCCATATCCCCTTTTCTTTGCCTCCTGTGCCTGAGAACTGTTTGTAAACAAAGCTCCAGCTTTGCTCGGTTCTCTCCGCCCCCAGTAAACCTGATACTTCCCCCGAACTTGCCACGCCAGTCTCGGAAATCCTTACTCGGCACGGATATTCACAATTTTCACAAGTGATCTTGAAAGCAGGCCGGAGAGGAAGCCTTCTAAATGGTCCCATATTGCAGGCGCGCTGATGAGGCCTGGGATGCTTAGGCTCTTCTTTCTGCCATTCCCTAGCCCCGGAGCCGGGAATTCGAGGCAGCCAGAGGGGTTTCTGTGTAAAGACCAGTTGGCCCGCCTGGGACTGCGAGCTGGACGCTCCAAGAGCGCGGGCCTGGGAGTGGAGCTGGTGGGCGCGGGCTGTCCAGGCCGCCCGCGGCTGGCTCTATAGAATTCAGTACCATCACTTTTGCCCAAGTATGGGAATGCGGGGAGCCCCTCCGGAGTGCGGAGCGGGGAAGGCCAGGCACCCCTTAGGTCCCACCCCGACCCCGCTTCCCATCTCTTGTCATATCCTGTGTCTGGCCTGATATTTTCCTCGAGTAAATGGAAGGGGATTACAATGAAGATTTATGTGTGCTCGGAGCGCGGCTGGTTTCCCAGTGCAGGGAGCCGAAATCGCTGCTTCCCATTTCCATTTTTCATTCCTGCTTTGGGGAGCGCAAGTTAGCGTGTCGGGGGTCGGGCGGGGGGAGTGTGTCTGCACTTCGGCGGGCTGATCATAGGGCTCGGCGTCTCCGGGCGGCCCCCGAGACTGTGAGAAAGGTTTGGAAGCGCGTCGCCCCCGGCGGGGCTGGAGCCGGACCCCACCTCCTGGAGCCGGCCTTTGTTTCTCCCCCTAGCCCACCCCTCCGCCTCCCCGCCCCCTCACTTCTAGAAAGCGGGTGCATCCTCGCGACCTCTTTGGCCCTTCTTGTAACCGGGAACGCCCCCTTCCCCCTTGGTCCCTGCACCCTCCTTTGCCCGCCGCCGCCGGGCCAAAGGCGCGTCTTGGCCCTGTACGACCCCGCCGCCGCCGAGTGCCAGGTTCGGTGACTCCGGCGAGTCTGTGGGGCCTCGGCCCACCCCGGAGAGGGGCCGCCCGCCCTCCCGGCTCCCAGGCTCGGCTCATGCCAAGGCCTGTTGCGTGATTCCAACTTGGGCTGACATTCCCTGCCCGGGGCGCTCCGGCGCAGGCCTCTTAATCATCTTGTCTGCTGCAGATCCTCGACACCAGCCAATTTACTGCCCCGTCTTTCCCGGCTGGTTTCAGGAGCCGGGGAGGGGAGTGCTCGCAAAGGAGGGGAGGGCATAACCCCAGGAGAAAGACTGGTACCAGTTACTGGCGCGCATATGGAAGGACGGACACACACACACACACACACACACACACACACACACACACACACACCCCAAAGTAGAATTTGGAAGTGGGGGAGGGTAGGGGGTGGTTAAGAGATGAGGTTTTGATAGGCAGTAGTTACCTAGGGAAGCTCAAAACCCCAGATCATTCTCAACTGTTCAGCCCCCTCATTTCCAGTGCCCATCTTTGGTCACTTTGAGAAGGCCCCAAACCAATTTGATCAGAAAAGTCAGTATTCGCTTCAGGTTGGTGCCACTGAGTCCAGAAAAATCACTTCCATTTCACGGCTGCCCTCCCCCCCGCCGCGAAAGATGTTAGGGATACATGGATGACCCACATAAACTGGAGGAATCTGACAAGCAAGATTCTCTGGTCTGTGCCCCACTTCCTCTCCAGAAGAGGCTGGTCCCACGGAGGGAATGGCAGAAGTTCAAGCACCTTGTAGAAAGAGATCAGTGCCTCCCCAGTCCCAATCCTTCCACTCAAGGCAAAATTGGAAAGGTCCCTAATAATACCGGACTTCCTAAGTAAAGCCCCTCCGATATGGAGTATAGTGATATTTAAAAAAAGTAATACTAACTACGAAATGGCCAAAATTTATCTAGTGCTTATCACATGCCAGGCGTTGTTACATCATTGCCTCATTAAGGGTTCATTAAGTTGCTCACTATTCTGAGCCGTAGCTGTTATTATTTCTCCTATCTTAGAGATCTGCAAACTGCAACACAGAGAGGCCAAGAGGGTTGCCCAAGGTCACATAGTCAGTGGTTGACGCCGAGGGAGCTTCCAACTGCAGATTCCAGCGCTTTCAGTGAAACTGGCTTTTAGTTCAGATGTGCATTACACATCTACCCTCGATTCTTGCAGGGGATGCCAGAAAACAGGGTCTGTTTCCAAAGCTGGGAGCTAGCTGGTCCTGTGAGGCCGGTGATGGGAAGCGGAGTTGAGAGGGTTGTGTGGAACTTTGCTCTTCAAGAGTGTGAGGTGCAAGCACGCCACTCCCCAACATCGAGCATCCACTCTGCCGCTGTGAATGCATTTGCGTGTTTGTGACTTTGTGTCAGCACGTGTAACACGAGTGTGTGCCTGCGTGTGTTGGAGAGCATGAGTATGTGTGTATCAGCGCAGCACTGCACGCAGGGGTTGCCGAGCATTCCAAAGCAGCCAACCGTGCTTCACGAGGGTGACTCACTGAGCTCTGGGATCGGCCAGCTCCCAAAGGGCCTCGGGGGCCAATGGAGGGAGGGACCAACGTCGGGGTCTGA